GCCTCATGCACTTGTTCTTACCAACTAGGCAGACACCCACTACACTGACACCCATCCCAGTTTCCTCCTTCATCCTGATCCATAGGTTCCCGCTTGGCTCATCCAACCCCAGGCAGAGCTCCAGGCATTCCCATGACTCTCTCATTCAAAGAGAAACCCCCTGGAGGTGTCTCTGAGCTCTGCTGTTGTCCCAGGACTGGAGAAGCTGCTGCTCTATGTATGTGCCTTGTCCGTATCCTAGGAACTGGAACACCACCACAACCCCACACCAGCAGCGGTGGCACAGCCTCTCTAGTTGGGACCCATGAGTCGACCAGCACATCTGGAATGCAGAAGGTAAGTCCCTGGCGAGGAATCCCTACCCATGGCTCTCAAAGTCTCCTTGTTCTCCTTGGGAAGCTGGCAGTGAGGTGAGGAGGGTCAGGGTGGCCCTTGCAGTCCCTCTGTGACATGGTGTGCAGTGACGCTGGGACATTCCAGACCAACACGGAACTGGGGACCCTTTGGTGAAGTCAAAGAAGGAGGTGGAGGTTGTGGAGTAGTCATTTCCCTCTCACCCTCCTGCTACAGGAGTTAGCCCAGAGGGAAGAGGAGGACAAAGATGGAAAACCTGTGGCCAAATGTGTTTCCAACGCTGAAGAACCTCACCACTGGTGGTAAGGCTTGCAGGGGTTGTTCCCTGACAATACAGCTATGGAAGTAGCTGTGAGAACGTGGGGCCTTTGGGGGGGGTCTGGGCAGGGTCCAACAAGACCCATCAACCCTTCCTGGATCAGTTCAGCAGCCAGGACTCCTGGGTCCTCTTCCTGAGGATCTACCTCTCCCCCTGCCTTGCTGGAAGTCCCTGGCACCCTTGCCATGGGGATTGTCCACCTAGAGCTCCCAGCCACAGTGGCCCTGTGAAGTTGATGAGCTGACAGGGGAGATACCTGGGGGTCCCCTGAGCCTCCCAGCCCTCCTTGGGCGTCCTCTCACTGGCGTGGGCATCCAATTCCCTACATCTTCTGTCCTGTGGAGCACCTTGCGTGGTCTGAACAGGGTGGCAACATGTTTAATCTCACTCATCATCTTCCCAGGAAGCGGGTGCTGAAGTGGTTGCTGACTTGGACCCATGATCCTTTTGCTTTCCAGAGATCCTTCTGATTTGGGACAGCGTGTCTGAACGCATTAGGCAGCACATGGAGAAGGACAATGTGAGTCTGGCACCCTGGCCCTTCCCCCTGTGGAACCCCAGGACCTTGCCTTGGGGGGGAACCCCAGGACACTGCTGCACAGATGTGACACAGACCAGCTTCTCTGGCACCTGCAGTAAAATGGAAGTCCAGATCAAGTAGAAGAAAGTGTTCATCACTTTCTGGGCTTTCTCTCATCTCCATTGCCAGGGTGGAAAGACCACCCTCTGGTACCTCCTGAAGGGTTTGTCCCTGTTGAAAACCCCTCCAATTGTACCTATGGGTGTTGGCCCTGCTGTCACTTTTCCCAATTCATTGAGCAGAAGAGAAAAAGGACCTGAAGTCTCTTCTTTTTCTCCAGAGCCTCCTCAATGTCCCACACTGGCCTTTGTAGCATCCCTGTGCTCCAACAAGCCATTGGATACTTAAAATGGTTCCTTCTCTTTGCCTCCCACTGCTTCCAGGCTGTCCAACTGATTGGAATTGGGACATTTTATGTTCTTAAAGACTACCCCTGCCGTGTGAACGGAGATGTTTCAGTCGTTAGGAGACCCATGTTTCATCTGTCCAAGGTTGTGGCAAATGAATGCAACCTCAGCTGTGCTCAAGGAGACATTCCTGGTAAGAAGAAGGATTAAAACCTTTGTCCCACCCTTGAGGTGTTTGCTGACCCTTGCTGAGGCCTGAGTGAGTGCCCAAAGATGTCCTGAGGACAGGCTACCGAGGAGCAGTTCCTCAGACAGACCCAGGGGGTGTCCTGTTTTGGTGATACTCATCCAGCTGGAGGATCTCTTCTTGACCTGCCCTCGTGCTTGGCTCTGCACCATTCACCATTGTGCCATGTTAGAACAACTGCTTCCAAAGAGTCATTTGTTGGAGCTGCTTCTCCTGATGGAAAGGAGACAGAGCTCATGCTCCAACTTTATGGTGCTGCCCATCTACTGGTAACAGCAAGGCTGGAGTTCCTG